TAGGAAAAATATGTGATTATGCTTCTGTTTAAGGCAAGGTGCAATAGGACATGGTTTGAAATTAAGTTACTTAAAATTTGTCCTGTAATCTATATTCAATTATATGACTAGGAAAAAATATAGAATTTAATTTTATTTAACTGTGTTAAATTGGCAGGGGAACCCCTCCAAACCATCTTATTTTAGAAAGTGCCCTGGCACACGGTATCTAGCTAGAGTAGACTGGCATTTTTCCCATTTTCCATTCTTCTGAGTAGATGCCAGATTACTTTGGGAAGTCATCATTTGTAAAAGGTCATAAACACCATGAGGAGCTTTCTTGAGTATACAGTTACTGTTAATTAGAAACTAAACATCTGTAACCATGTCAGAGTTATTTGTGTTTGAAAAGAAACATCTATATACAAGATTCTCTCAGTTAACATAAAATACAGTATGGCACAAACATGGGAATAAGTTGTAGATGCGTCACTATCTACTGCAATGAAGTTATTGTGTAGTGGAATTGAAGCATCTTCATGTTGAAAAAAATGGGGGGGTTAGGGGCAGGGGTTTCCTGCTATCACTAAACCGCTATTTTCCTACACTTGTCATTGCAGGTTTAGAGGCTTTTTAGAGGTAAAACCCAAAAGTTCAATATGCAGAATTGATTAAACTGTTTTTTAAATTGTGGTGTAAAAGTTTCCCATAGTCTTACTTCTTGCACTTCCTCAGAGTGCAATGATTGCCCTGCCTTCTATTATCACCTCTCCAATATAGATTTCTTAAAGGTGATAAGGAAAAATTGGACTCATGGAAAGGATGTGGTATCATCCTGAGGATGCAATAGCTCCAAGAGTTGTGCTTCTGGGGCAGCATAGCTCTGCACTTCTTCCAGTACAGGCTTGTATCTTTGAGCCACAGTATGGCTCCAAATGAATAAATTGTCAGATACATTGTGCTGTTAATTAAATACATCTATTGTGTAGTGAAGTGATCAAGATCCTTTGAATTCACTTGCTAGGAAACAGTCTTTATATTGGAAATGTATTTTGCCTTTCCTGTAAAATAAACTTTTAAGTTAATATCTATACATTAATTATTAGAGATACTTAGGGCGTTTGTTCATTTTTTTCCCTTCAATATAAATAGGCCTGGAAGTGTTCATTTGGCTAGAAAATGCTCTAGAAATTTTTGCTAATTTGCAGCAGGTGACCTTCTTAATGCATATTTTTGTGAAATATTTAGGTGGTCTTTGTCCTGCTTATATCTGCCAACTACTCAGATTTGTCTTTCTCAAACCTGTAATGTGCTGAATAAATAGCGGAACACCAAATTACCATTTTAATGCTCCTGATCCAACCTTAAACCTATACAGCCTTGTTGTAGCTGCATCCATTTTTACAATTAAGCTAATTTATTCAGCCCTGTGGGAGCGGGAAGGACTCTTCATAAGTGATTTCTGTAAATTGACATACACTACTACTATTTTTCACTTTAAATAACCAAAGAAGGGTAGTCTAAGGCCTTTTGGGGCTTTTAAAATATAAATCATAATGAAATATTAAAATGTCTTTAGCCTGCATGTATGTGTGCTATCAAAGCTTATCAATACACCATTTAAGATATTTTTGCAATATCTTGTCTGTTGTGTACAATGAGTATCTTTTAAGAAAATGTGTAAATGACTTAAGAGTGTATATCACAGCTTGACAGCTTATCTTGGTCTTACTATAATTCTAACTTGCATTATATATATATCTGCATATAAAATGTTTTAGGAATATTTAGAATTACTTGAGTAAAACTAATATGATTAAGTTTGCTATTAACATAAATGATGGGCAACAGAGTGTTACTGAACAGGTAGGTCTATGGTTCCATCGACATTTGCCTAAAGAAGGACAAGGAAAGGAAAACAAACTGCAGTCTTTATCTGTTTTGGTTTACATGGTTGGACATATACCCTTTCCATTACTAGCTAATAGAAGTGTTATAAATATGATTTGTGGAGGTAGTGTTTTAGTTTGGTATTTATTATATTTAGCCATTTATATTAGATGTCTGTTTTGGATTTTTTTTTAAAGAAATCGTATTCAGTGAACATATGAAACTGTTAAATGGTAGCCATAGCAGTACACTGCACATGGGTAACAAACATCACATTTCTTCATTTTTTAGATGTGGCCACTCACCTGTGTATCGTTCACGTGAGATGGCAGGCCGGGCTCTCGTTCCATTTGTTATGGTAAACCAGATACCCTCTATTGTACTATCCCTGCTGGCTGGACTTCCAGACTATACTAGTCCACATATACGACAGAACCCTATTCACGGGACCCTTCTACAAGTAAGTTTTTTTTTTCTTTTTGTTTGATGCTGTTTAGTTGTGTAGCCTACAGTGAATTAGGAGTTTAGTGAGCAATGTATGAAAATCTGTTTCCAAAGCAGTTCGCAAATGTATTAAAAGTCAACATTAAAATCACCTAAGAATGTGCTGTAAAATGTGTTTTAATAAGGTGCAAATTCATTTGATATTTTTCATATGAACACACATCTGAATAAGACATGCATCTTGTTTTTGAATGGTAGAATGAATTGTGCTGCTTCCTATAGAGCACATGAAGTGTTAATTTTAGTCCCACTCCCAGCAGAAGCTTATGTCGTTACCATATTTCTGTGCTTATAATGCACACCTCAATTTCTAGCTGCTGATTTTTGGAAAAATTCTGTGCATTGTATGTGAGAAATGTGATGCCTGTCAAAGGGGCAGAAGGACAAGAGTTATATACATAAAAAAAAAAAAAACAACAACAACAACAACAACCAAAGATGAAAGACAGATATAGAGCTTTTAATTCCTGGGCCATAGAGACTTTAAAAAAGAGGGTAAATAATATTATTCATATTTAGTCAGTCTGACCATTTGCATGAAGAGGTTAAATATCTGTGATATGAATTTAGATCACTCTTCTCAGTCCCACATCTAACTGTTTAGCCTTGTTCTTGTTTTTAAAGGTTTTTGCTATCTATCTTCCTTGCTGCAGCCTTGCCTCTGTCTTGTTCTATTTGCACTGTTTTCATTTCCTTTTACACTCTGAGGTGCTGGACAGATGCAACTTCTGAAGTACTTCAAATGATGCTGCCCCCCCTTCTCCCACCTATTATGCCCCCTGGTTGGAGTGCTTCAAAATTGCTGTGATGGCATGCAGCAGTGTGCTCTGCAGTCAAGCTGCATGACAAGGGGGTCACTGAGTCTTGTAGCTTTGATCTCCTTCAGCATGGGGGGCAGCTAAGCACTCTGCCTTTGGTCTCTTGGTTCTGCAGGTGGAAAGGCATTCAAGGAATTATTGTCTCCAGGCCCAGAGCTAAAGAGAACAGTTCTTTGCATGGCTCTCAGCTTCTGGAATTTTTGAAGGACAGCCAAGTGCCCTCCTCCCACCTGAACCTGGGAAACTACAAGCCTTTTGCTCACCCCTGCCTTCCTTCCAGAGACACTCGCATTCAATCAGGAGACTGTGCCCCCCCACACCACACTCCCAGTTCTCCCCTCTTTCTCCCTCCCCCCAACCTAGGAGACAGGAGGTAGGAAGATACGAAGGGATTCCTGTAGGGAGGTATGAAGAGATTCCTGATCTCCAGTCCCACATCTGGCATGACAGGATGTATGATATTTGGGATGGGGTATAAGAGTCCATAGATCCCAACATCAGGAGCCCTTGTAACGCCAGTTACGGAGGGGGGAGAGAAAGTGGTGTTGGTGATATATTTTGTGGCTGCCAACAAGGATTTCTCTTCTGGGGTGTGTGTGTGGGTGTGTGTGTGTGTATTTAATGCTGATATCTGTGGATGGAGACCATCTCCTTACTCGCATAGCTTTCTGAACTAGCTTTGGTCAGTAAGAGCCAAGTTGGTCACTCCAGCATGGGGCTCTTAGTTTCTGTATGAAATCTTACCTAAAAAATGTTTGAAAAATCAACATCAACATAATGATTATATTATGTAAACAAATATTTCCATCTTTTAAAAATACTGTTCCAAAATATATAGTTGTGACTGTTTGGTATAACCTGTCTGATATTGTCGCTTTAAAGGAAATGTAAGCTTTCCCCTTTGAATACTAAAACGAAATGAAGAAAGCTCAGAATGCATGATCTCATGTCCTGTAATGATAGCAGTACATATAACACAAATAAAGAAAAAGGACACATTCAATTATGGTTCCCTTAGTTATAAGTTGAATAAAACCACTTAGGATAATTGAAACAATAAGAGGACTGGATTCATTTTAATTGCTGAAATCTTGGTTTAATTATTCGTAAGAAAAAAGCAGCTCTTATCTACAATATGTACTGTGTTATAAGTAAGGGACCTGTGAAAAATGATGGAAGAATTTTAGGTTAAAATTAGAGTTGCAGTTTTTAAAAGTTCTTCTGAATTGCTTTGAAAATTGAGTGGTAACTAGCAAAAAGAATCTGAAGCATATCTTATCCTTTCTTCTGAAACATAGGGTATAAAAATAGGGATAACTTCAATTAATATTATTAAGATATAATTAGTGGGATTCATATTATCACATCGTTCCTGCCAATAAGCCCAGTTGTTTGGCAGGAGGTAGCTGATTGAGGAGGTAGAGAAACTAAGAGATTGTCCAACTGCTTCATAAACTCCCTCCCAAAGCCTATCTGGAATAGTTACTGGCAGACCTTATTTTAATCTTTCTACTTCTGAATCTTGTATTTAGGTTGCGCATCTCAAGACTCCACGTTCCATGTTCTCTTTGGCCATTTCGTGTGATCGTGCACTCCAAGACCATAACCAGTCATAACTCAGTTCCAAAACAGCTCATACCATCCTCATACCTCCTTTTGGCTTGTTTTGTAACTCTTCCTGCAATGTGTGGTTAGTTAACAATTTGTTAATTCCCACCCTCTTTTGATAGGATGAGGATTATAATGAAAGTGATATATGGGATGCGTGGCACAATTTTTTTATAGTTGGTTTCCATATGTGAAGAAAAATCAGCATCTTGTACTGAATCCATGGTAAACAAGCACAATTTCTTATCAGGCACACAGCTTTTAATTTACTGTTTCATTCACACTTACTTGTGTTGTTATAGTAAATTCAGTTGCTATGCCTAATATTTATAGCTGGTTATGAAAATAAGACCTTTATACCAGTCTAGTTCTTGCTAACCAGAGTATGACTTTTTGATGGAACATTTATTGAATTACAAATTTTGAATGCCATGAAAACCAAAAATTTCTAATAAAATACCATCCCCTCCACCTTATGACATAAGTTTACTATTATAGGTTTTGCTATGGTTCATAAATATTTAATATAAACAAACCTAATCCAAACATAAAGTACTATTAAAGTCAAGCTGCCATATTTTGGGAGATCAACCTGCCAAACTGCACATTGTGCAAATTACGCAACACAAGCAAAGATCTAAGTAGTGTGGCATATTATGTACATAAAACACTTTCTGCAGTTTAATTGTTACAGTTTTTCTTTTGTGATATCAGGAATGTTGAAAGACAACATAATGCTAAGCTTGTGTGTACTGGAGGGAAATGGAACTTTCAGGTGAATAATAATAAAGTTTTAAAACTAAAAATCAAACATATAAATCAGAAGCAGATTTATACCCCAGAAATGGGAAGGTGCCAGATACTCAGTGAGCTATGCTTTGCTATTCTGTATCACAGCTGTAGCTAAAGGCCTTCTGTAATGGTGGGAGAGTTGTGGTATTCCATCACAGGTAGATAAATTTGTGAGATGTGCCACCAGGAAAGAAATATAGGGAAGTAGAGAGACCGCTAGTCCTGTAATAGTGACAGCAGCTAATCAAGACTTTATAGACTAGGGATTGATGGAAATGTTTATTTAGGAACAGTACATTCTATAAATAGGAGTAATGAAGCACTTAATACAATAGTTTAGTAGTTTCTAGGGTCGGAAGGGACCTGAACAGATCAAGTCTGA